ATCAAAGTGAAATAATAAAAAATAGAATTATCTAGATATATCAAATTACAGAATATGTTTTTCAGTGCAGTTGAGTTGTTTTTTACTTATAGCAGTCCAATGTGACAGAGTAGGATTGCCCTATAGGTTGAGCTTTCTAGGCTATACTCTTTATGGAAGCAAATCACCAGATTTTTCTTCTGGGGAGCTGCTGCTGGTGTTCAAACCACCAACCTTTCAGGTGGCAGCTAAGCACTTAATCATTTGTGCCACTAGGGTTTCTTAAATCATAACATACAAATACAATTATGAAGGTAAATGGAAGGGAAAAATAGGTAATTCAAGATGCAAAATCGGTAATGAATTTGACAGAAGTATTTGCTTACAGAAGGAGTTTTTTTTAATTGTCTCATTTACTTTCTCAACAATAAATTCCCAGAAAAACTCAGTAATGGGGAAATGTAATTAAGAGAACGAAAGCCCAATAGTTAAGTGCAACTTACCAAGAACTAAATAAAACTTTTGAGGGACTATGTTTTGAGATTTTTAATGTAAATTATTCAATAAATGATACCGAAGTAGTTTGAACTGAAACTTTACATTATGCCAGGTTAAATTGTATATGGATAAAATATTTAATTGCTAAAAACAAAACAGTAAAAGCAAGCAATATTAGGCTTGTTGAACTTGGAGAACTATGTAGCATCCTACCTTAGCTGACGTGTATACCAACAGAGCAAGGTAGAAAATTGTTCTCCATTTGATTTCCATTACTGTATCTTTAGAGTCTACCCAGGAGTCCAGCCTCAAGGCCAGTCTTCTCATCTATCAATTCCTATGAATTTGAAAATAATAATCCCTACAACTACTACCTCCACTATTTTCAACTACTGGTAATAACAATTCCAGGAATTGCCTTGTGTTTTTAGGACAACTGACTATTCTCTACTTTTTTGTGGAAAGTGAAGTAATTCTTATTTATCATCTTGGTTCTATGGGAATCTTGAAAAACAGCTATGGGAAGTTGCAGGAGACATCAAGCTTAATTGGCATGACATACTAAACAAAACATTGTTCCACCTCCTACTTTGACAAGTAGCAACTGGGATCATAAAGCTTGCAAGTAACCATCTACATGCAACCATGGGTCTCTTGTCCAGTGCAAAAGAGATTGAAGAAAACCAAAGATTCATGGAAACAATTAGTCCAAATGATTGTTACACCATACGATCCTCAGACTATACGACTATGAGACCAGAAGAACTAGATGGTGTCCGGCTACCACTGTCAACCACTCAGAGGGGGATCTATGCAGGACATCCTGGATAGAGAGGAAGAACAATGTGGAACAAATCTCAAAATCATTTGGGAAAAAAAAGGAGGACCAGGTTTGCTGGTCTGTTAGAGCCTGGTAGAATCACTGAAATTATGGCCCCTAGCTGCCCTTCAGGTCTGGAATTGAACCCACACCTGTGGCTTCCAGCCAAATGAAAGACAGGCGTATGAGGTGAACATTTACACTAGGTAAATACACTCCTTTGGGAGATCAATCATAGGAGAATAGAAAGGCTGTACATGCACAGGCAGACAGTTCAGGGGGCAGGAGTGCATGGAGGGAAGGAAACAGGAAAGAGGGAGGAAGTGAGAGGAGACCTGTTGCATTGTGGTAAAATTTAGTCAATGTCATGAGACAAAGTGTATGTGAACTGGTGTGTGGAAAGTGAATTTGCTCTGTAAACTTTCACCCACATCATATTAAAAGAAAAAAAAAACAGCTTTGGGCAAAATTTTACAAAGATATTTAGGTTTTGAAGCATGAGCAACCAGATTCTGTAGCCCTTTAAGTTCATCTTTGTGTCTAAAAGTGCCATAGGGGAATATAGAGGGTGAAGAAGAGAGAAACTCTAGGAATCTCAGTAGAGTTTGGCAGACAGATTGATAGAGAAGCCATTTTAGTCAGAGTGGCAAGGAGGAAATGGAGCGCCCTGGAATGTTTTAGAATTCCAAGAAGATCACAGTAAATAAAGAGTGAGGAGAGAGTAGGGATTGACGAATGTGAACTGGGACCTGTTGAAAAAGGTCCGCAACTAGCTGTGAAGATGTTTGACCTCTATGTCCTGAGCAACCCATTCATTTCACAAATGAAGTAACTTAAACCTACAGTAGTTAACAAAATGGCTAAGGCCTATATGTTCAAAGTGTGGTCTCTGCATTTCTGACAAGGGACTTATCTCTAGAATTTATAGAAAACTCCAACACCTCGATAACAAAAAGACAAATAATCCAATTAAAAATGAGCAGAAGACATGAATAGACACTTCACCAAGGAAGATATTCAAGTGGCCAAGAAAAATATGAAAAAAATGCTCAAGATCATTAGCCATTGTTGTTGTTGTTGTTATGTGCCGTCAAGTTGGACCTGACTCATAGCAACCCCTCCTTGGGCTGCTGAGGCAGTATCACTACGGAAGTAGATTGCCCAACCTTCCTTCTGAGGAGTGGCTGCTGGGTTTGAACTGCCAGCATTCTGGTTAGCAGTCAAATGCCTTAGGCACTATGCTACCAGAGCTCCTCATTAGCCATTAGAGAGATGCAAGTCAAAACAACGAGATACCATCTTGTTCCAACACTAGTAGCAAAGTTCAACAAGACAGAAAATAACAAATGCTGGGGAGGATGTGGAGGGACTGGGACTCTCATACACTGCTGGTGGGACTGTAAAATGGTACAACCACTGTGGAAAGCAGTATGGCAACTCCTTAAAAAGTTGGAAATAGAAATACAATTTGACCCAGCCATTCCATTGCTAGGTATATATCTTAAGGAAGTGAGAACCATGACAAGAACAGACATATGCACACCCTTGTTCATCACAGCACTATTTACAATAGCTAAAAGATGGAAACAACCTAGTTGTCCATCAACTGAGGAATGGATAACCAAACTTTTCTGCATACACAAAATGGAATACTATGCAACCCTAAAGAATAATGCACAATCTGCAAAACACTGCATAACTTGGATGAACTTGGAGGACATTATGCTGAGTAAAGTAAGTCCATCAAAAAAGGACAAATATTATATTAGTCCGTTATTGTAAAAATCAAGGAAAGGTTTATCTATGGAAGGAAATTTTCTTTATTGGTGACCAGGTGTGGGAGAGGAGGGAAGGGAACACTGTTAGATAGGTAGAGATAAGTATTGATTTGGGTGTGAGTAATCAACATGGTGGCATCGAGGAAGAGGAAGACAGGGAGGTACATGGGAGGTACAGAGAACAAAGATGAACCCTTTTGCACATATCGTACTGCATTCTCAGTGAAGGCAAACAGGGGTGTATGGGATGATAGATGGGTGAACAGGCTGAACTATTAGGTATGTCTATGAAGTGGGGAGTGTACCCAAGACCATGTATAGGGTTGACAGACAGTGGTCCTATAAGTGTATTTGTATGATCTTAATTCCCAGGTGTATAGTAGAGCTGACAAGGGACAAGGTTGTAGTCACTTCTTGGTCACAGCAAACTACCCACAAGGACCATATAGTGGCTCAGGACCATAGTCACAGGGGACATCAATCTCAGTTGGCATAACATACTACACAGAACATTGTTCCACCTCCCACTTTGGCGAGTAGCGAC